ATATATATATATAAACATATATAAACCCTCACCCGTCCATTATATGCACCTTATAACATCTCAATCCCTCGCTATGCATTGCCAATAACGGACCCTGCTGAAGCCCTTTATTAAATGCTGCTCTCCGAGGCAGCAGGATGAGCTGAAGAAGCTGTTCGACACTGCGAAGAAGCAGCCACCTGACAGCTCTTAGAGAACAGGGTTGGATGTCAAGTTCTAGATTAGGTTGTTTATCGGGGTATATAGATCGAGTGGAGTCAGCTCTATATCAGGTCAGCAGGCTCAGAAGAAACGATATAAACCTTTCTTAGGTGCTCTCTGCAATAAGACCCCTTAATGCCATTTCTACGTCTCCACTGCATGTGAGATTGTGATGTCATTCACAGCCTATTTCGAAATGCCGACTCCTGGCTGTTCAGGCTCCCATATATATATATATAAATAGAGATACGGGTGTACATATATCAACAGGTTCATGAATTTCCTCCTGTCCGGGCAAGACTCATGCATGTCTTTAATTTGCAACACACCAAATTAACGTCCTCGAGTTGACTCACGTTCTACCTGGTGGGTTTTGTCATACAAATGTGAATTAACCTGAAGCAGAATTGTCTAATTATGTTGCAGACCAGTCACGATGCACGCGCCCCATGTGCTCTTGGCCGTTGATTCCTGCTCGTGTTTGGCCGTGGTGCTGCTTATTTATGGCGAAGCGATTGCGAAGCTTGGCTTCCGTGCTATGGGATGGTGACGAAGATGTGGATGCATTACTTCAAGATTGGAGAAATCAGCCAACTTTGTCCTGCTCTGGGGCCACTGATCATAAAGCTACCACCTGCGAAGTAGCCGTGTGGCCTGATGCTTGCCCGCCGGTGCAGATGCTTCCATTGGTGGTCGAGAAGCCTGCATTGCAGAAAAAGCGTCGACAGGATCCGTGGCATTGGTTGAAGCAGCTCTCCGAGGATATTAAATGTTTCGGGCGACTTCAGACAGAGATCGTTCGGGACCTAGAGCACACCAAGTTTGCGGAGGGGGCGATAACGTTCGACTTGGCAAGCTCCAACCTGGCCTCTAGCATACTGTCACACGCAGAGATGGGCATCAGAAGCATCTTTGCCAAGCACCCAGCGTTGTTCAAAGTAGGGGTCACTAGAAATCCCGTTTCGCGCTGGCTGCACTCAGCTTATGGCTACAAGCTTGACAAGCAAGTATCATGGGAGCGGATGACTGTCCTTCACGTGCATGCGAATGCTGATGTGATTTGTTTGATGGAGGCGGCACTAATTAGAATCTTCTTCAACTCACCGGGCTGCCGAAATATTCGGCTCGGAGGGGAGGGTCTGCACGCTGGTGACGGCCAGAGCTCCGGACCCTTCTTTTGCTATGTAGTCCAGCGTGTGCTTGTGCCACCGAAGTAAATGCAAATTCAGTTTCATATCAGGACTTCTAGACTGTCACCTTGTCTAGAAACAATGTTTGCAGCAATGTGGATTCTGCCACATCAGCAGCTCTGCCACGGGGTTATGCCAAAAAGTATCCCTGATGAAGTCCGATCGAAGACATGAGTGGACGTGCCTTGTACACATCCCAAAGCAACCAAGCTAGACCTGCATGAAGCCAACATGCCTGCTCTACTCGGTAGGGAAGCCTTATACAATGTAATATTTGATTTACCAATCCTGAAGACACGAACTCTTTCCAAGGATTCCCAATTAAAGCCTCAACCCATGCTACTGATCTCTTTCCAAGGACTCCCAATGAAAGCCTCAACCCATGCTACTGATCCAGGTTAGAGAACTAGCTGATTCGGGACGGAGGTTTGATCAGGTTCCAAGAAGTGTTGTTCGAATCGCCAAGAGCTTTGCAACAAGAAAAACCTCCCTAGAAAAAGAAACATGTAGAAAACGAGCTCTCGGTTCTTTGGTAACACCTATATATAACTATATGGCTGTGCTTACCGTTACAAGCTACTGGGCCGAGCAGTAGTTCAAGTTGCTTTCTTTGTATATGATATCTGTTACCTACCCTATATATACATATATATGTACTACAGTATATACGCCTCTGTACTCAAAACCCGAGTCAGGCCTGTGGTTCATTTCTTCCGAACTCATAGTTAAGATTTTTATTTATATGTGTTTCTACATGTGCTCATGTTTAACAAACTTAGTAT